GAGAGAGAGAGAGAGAGAGAGAGAGAGAGAGAGAGAGAGAGAGAGAGAGAGAGAGAGAGAGAGAGAGAGAGAGAGAGAGAGAGGGGAGGGGAGGTGTAGCAAAAGATTTAGACGGGGGGTAGGGAGAGAGATATCAACCTCGGTCTTCGCTTCTGGGCCCCTGTTCTTTGCGGCAGTGGGCAACAATGTGTAGTCATAATTTCCTTAAAAATCTTGTTAAGTTTGTTGAACTTTGTTCCCACCATTCCAGTAATCACACCATAACAGAAAACGTTAAATTCAGCTTTCCGTGATCGCTGCTTGACCTGTGTTTGTGCGCAACATGGACTCAGGTCGATGTCATTTATGATTTACCCCATCGCATTGATCGTAATCGTCTTCTTGAATTGAAATGTCAAAATGGTTGACCTCAAACGACAAAATGTTTGACGGTTTTTTTACCTCATTTGGAGTTGAACGGTGTTCCCACGAAGTTGATCTCGTTAAAGTCAACCGTTTTTTTTTCCCTTCGTATTGAAACGATTTTAAGAAGTTGGAGGTGGCGCCTCGCACCACTCCTCATCGCCCTCAAATGTTTGCCACCCCCTGCAGGCGCCTAGAGCGGCAGGGGATAGGGCTGCTACTTGACTTTCTGTTTGAACCATACTTGCAAGCGGACGTCGTCCGGGCGGTTCCGCACGTGCGGCAGACCGCCGGACCGGACACGCGCGGTGCACGAATGTGCGCCGGACGACCAGTTACGCCCCCCCCCCCCCCCCCCCCAAAAAAAAAAAAGCGGCCCCATCCAGTCCGGTCCGGGGGGAGGGTGCCGCACGCGGCAAAGCGGACCGGACCAGACGCTTGTCCGGTCCATCTGCTTGCAAGTATGGTTTGAACCATTGGATTCCACTCATTGTGAGGGACGCTGGACCCGTTTTTTTTCCAGCAGGTGTAGCTCCCCACCAATAGACCGGAGCCCGTGTGTTTGTAGGGAAAAAAAAAAAAAAAAAAAAAGATGAAGAAGAAGGTGAGGCTAGCTGTACCTTTTCTATGGCAGATATTGCCTTTCTCTGCATCGTCGATCGGTCCATGGGAAGAAGATGGAGGTAAAGGTCATCCAAAGAGTAGTTGTGTTTCTTGCTTAGGGAGTAGACACTGGGCACTGTGTGGTCCCCACTTCCACTCCCAATCTTCTTCCTTTCACCACAAAGAGACGAGAGTCCCTGATTACCCCCTTTTGTTGTCTTCTCCCCATCCAGTGTTCCCATTTCAAAGCTAGCACGCGGCCGGAGGTCACAGCCAGCCTTTTCCTCTTTCAGTTTGAACCGGATTCTCTTCATCGGATGAGCTGAGGTGGAGTCCTGGAGTTTATGGAAATGCCTTTGCTGGCCCTGTGTGTGCTTGCTGAGCCTTTCCCACACACTGCCTTCCTGTGGAGTGCCCCTTTTTGCGTAGGATGACAGAACTCTGGTGGATTGAAGTCCCAAGTCGAAGTCAAAGTCAAGGCCCTCCTCAGTGGTTCACAGCTTTGCACTAAAACGATAAGTCAGTTGGTACACCCCCGAACTGTTGAAATACAGACCCCAGTTTGAACCCCACAGTGAAACAGATGAGCGAAATACTATAACTGTGAATTACCTAGGGCCGGTCAATTCGATGATGATATCTTCAAGGCCGTCGTCCCCCATTCAAAAAAAAAAAAAAAAAAAAAAAAAAAAGAGGAAGAAGAAAGTTATGCAACAAATTCCATTCTACGTAGCAATAAATACCAACGTACAACAGAACTGTGCAGTAAAACAATAACCATATCAAGGTGATGTAATTTTTTTTTTTTATATGTAAATCGACGGTGTGTCTCCCCCCTACTAGATCGGAGCCATATTGTTCAAAATGGAAAGGAAAAATGTCGCATGCCTATATGGCAAAGATCAGAACCAAGAACCTACCCAAAGGGATAGAGCAATGTGCATGGGTCCTGGAGACCATCTCACGCAAGTGTGTACATGCCATGCATCGTTCTCCCACACACAACGAACAGTAGTCTGATAATAGACAAAGGTAGAGAAGATGAGAACCGAGTTTCACAGCTTATATTATCAAAAATATGAATACAAAGTGTTTCAAAGTTTCCCTGAGTCCAGCGCTCATCAGCGCAACACCAATATCTTGCCAACTCATCAATATGCCTTCCAGTGAATCAGTGCTACCCCTG